GCTTGCCAGGCAGGTGCTGTGCCACTGAGCTAAATCCCCAGCCCCTGTTTTTGGATTCTTATATATTCACTATAGTCTTGTGTTTCTCAGTCCTCTATTTCTTTCTCCTTTTTTCATAATTTTTTACATAATTTCTCTTTTTTTCACACTTACATTAATCATTTAGTTGGTGAACAAGTATGGTGGAAAATATATGTGGCTAACCATCATTTTACACTTGCTTCCTGGCCAGTATTTTCAGTGAGAACTCTATTATGTATTAAATATAGGGAGAGGTATTTATATATTTTTCTTTATCTGGTTATTTTTTAGTTTCACTGTGGTTTCGTTGTTCAGAAGTCAGATAACAGATTCCTGCAGTTAGAATACTTTGAAGGAGACATACTTAGCTGCATAATACTTAGCTTTCAGTTTTAACTTTTCTGAGGATCTCTTATCCCTGACCATATCTCCGTTCACAGCTAAGCTTGCTTGTCACTGGGCCGCAGTGAAACTTTCAGTCCCTAATGTTCCAGACAAGGTGGTAGAGTTATGCAGTAGCTGATTCCTGTTTAACAGTGTCCAAGGCTGCATGTTTCCCACCCTAGACACTAAAATCTTGGTTCTCCAAATTAGGCCCTATACCCAAGCCTAATTCTCCTGGAGATACACACACACACACACACACACACACACACACACATGCATGCATGAACACACATATTTTATATAGGGAAGAAATTACTTTCTTTCTGAATGTCAAAGATGTTATTCCACATATAATCATACATACTTCCCTATATATGTACAAAAAGTGTACATGCATACACTACATGGATATATGTACTCAGTACAGAAAAATCATACATACATTAGATTACACAAGGCTGTTAAAATAAACCAGTCTCCACTCTCTACCTACTTTTTCCTTGCAGTCTTCTCATACACAATACATTCTTCTGAGTCACTCTACCATGATTTACATGCAGATTTGTAAACTTTCTTTTATTGCTTCTTCTTGATACTCCAGAAAAGTAGAGATGACAAATCAAAGACAAAATGCAAAAATATTGTCTTTCGTTAATTATATATAATTATGTATTAATTATATATTAAGTCCACATTCTCTTGATTAGATGCTCCAGTCTTTGGTCTTAAAACGGTATGGAGGATGGAGTTAAATTTCAGTGGATTATCCTAAAAGCTGTTGTCAATATTTATTGTCAGAAAAATACCACTATTCCCCATAGACAATATATATGAAATTTCTGACCTAGATGATAATTTTAGAAATAAATTTCAATGTACTTTAACCAGATCATCATTGAACTGTATGCAGTTTTTCAATTGGCTCATGAGAATACCCTTTTTTTTTTAAGGTTTAAATTTCAGTGGCTGACAGAATGAGAGCCAATCAGAAAATAACATTTAGATAAGCCTTTATTTGTAAAAACAAAGCCCACTAGCATTTCCCCTACCAATATCTACTGTTTAAAAAAAGGGATTTTGAAGTCTATGAGTTTTATGGGTTTATTTCCTAATAAAAATTCCTAAATAAACATTAACTCATTATCACCTTTTATCTCTTCTCTCTCCTCACTACTGGAATGATTTCTTGGTTCCCTAACGCCAGCAGTATCCTATTAAAAGGAACTATGGGCGCAGAGCTTTATAGGTTTGGCCTCACCAGCTTTATTTTCTCCGTATATAAAGTTTATAGGATAAAATATATTTAATTTCAGTTTATGCTGAAATCCATATTTCACATTATCCATAACTTTCCTTTAAAAAAATCTAGATTTGGACATGCCAATTAAATGTCTCATTCAACCACAGTTGTTTTGGTTAAATGTGAAAGTCTTGCATAATTTCAGTCATTTGAAGTTTTGCATTATTAAATTGATATTCAATTATAAAATATACATTAAGTGAAAAATATTTGGTAAATTCAGATCTAAGCTATTATAGAAATATATAGTATAGTAAAGAATGCATTAATCAAAACTCTAATGCTTGTCAATGGATAAAGTATTTATTAATAATCGTTAGAGGGAAATTTTATTATGGGGAGTACACATTATACCTTGCCATGTTTTACCACACAGATGAGAACCAAATGTAGTTTGTGTTTGACATGGAGCACAAAACTATGAATTATCAGTGTTCAAAAGTTCCATTAGTATGAACCAGTAAGTTATTTTCCAGTCACCATTAATATATTTTGTTTTTTCCCACCAATACACTGCTATTAGTTTCAAAATATTAAGTATCCTTTTTGTACAAGAAAAGATCTTACTTGACCTTCACTGTTTATTATCTGTATCACTTCTTTTCCATTCGTATACATTATGTCTCAAATCAACAATTTGAAATCAACTACAGGATTGAAATCTCACAGGCTCTTCAATTTAAAGGGTTTTTATTTTACCTGAAAGAAGATGGAGAGCTCTGCAGCTGTGAAGGATAAAGACTCTTAAGCTTCTGCAGGTTTTTAGTGGTTGTCTAGCCTAATCAAAGCATAATAGTGGTCAGCTGCAGGTGTAGCTGGAGCCTACTAGCAAGGGCCAGTATAGACTTTAAACCCCATTTCTATATTTAACACAAATTAATATTTTTATATATTTTGGTTATAATTTTCTGCTAGGTATTGAAGACCAAGTTAAAATGAGACTTGTGTTACTCAAAATTAATGTCTTGCTATATGTATTAAAGTAGATTAATGCTGTTCGGGGTTATTTTTAAGCTTCTTTAGATAAATAATTCACATCAGCTGGAAAAATATCTTAATAAGGGAAATATCAGACTTAGAGATAACCTCCATAAACAGGCAGGTGTAGGATCCAACTGGTTATAATCTTCACTTCAATTCCTTAAAAAAATAATATCTAATCTTAGCCCCCTTCCCAATTTGTCTTTTCACTACGATTATGTTTGGGCCATGCATTCTTAATATCTCGGTAAAATTTTTTATTTTTACATAGAAGCTGTCACATTACAAATGGTAATGCAGATGGAGCCAACAGTGAATGAATTTGCTAGACTCTCTTGTACTATGGTTTGCTAGATTGTTCTCTGAAGGCGATTCCATTACTGCTAAGCCCTCTCTATGTATGTCCCATATTAGCCCATTTCTCATAACCTATATTCTTGTCCTTTTTAAGAATTTTCCTTTACAAGATACAACATGCCTTTTAAAATTGACAAAATATAGGGCCAGGGATGTAGCTCTGCGGTGCAGTGACTGCCTGGCAAGCATGAGGTCCTGAGTTTGAGTTCTGGTGCCAAAAATAAAATGAAATAAAATAAATTAATTAATCAAATTAAATTTGCAAGGTATAGCATGCCTTTTAAATAACAGTTCATACTTCCTTCTATACATACCTTTTAGCATTATCTATGTAATTTCTTTGAAGTTCTTAAAACATATGTAGTCTCTTTTACTATCTATGCAATTTCTCCATCGCTCTTGAAACATATTAAAGTGTCCTTTACTATGCAACACTTCTATGTTTGCATGTCCCTTAACCCCACCCAGATCCCACATGAAGATGAGCTGGATCACTTTCCCCATTTTCTCCATAGGATACTGGAAATTGTGTTGTAAAGCAGAATGCTGTATTTTCACTTCCACCACCTTTAGTAGGTTTAGTGCTTCTTATCCTTTATTATTTTCTGTAACTCCAGGGTGTATCATAAAATCAACACAAAAATTGGCAAAGCAAACTGTTATTGACTTAAATTTTTTTTTAGGTTAGGAGAGTTTTTTATTGGAAATAAGAAGAATAGCTCCTGGCTTTCCAGGAGGGGTCCTGAGCTGGGTAACCATATGGCCTCCAATGTAGAGCTAATTATAGATACACAGAGCACAGGGACTGCTCAGTTATTTAATGATCACCTAGTACAGGTGGCTCTGTGAGTTGAAAGCAGCCAGTCTGGACTCCAGTTCTCTACCCAGTTCTTTCACATAGTGTTTACAGCAAACTGAGATCTTAGAAACAACTAGTTATTTTAAACTAAAATACCTCAAAAACCCTAAGGAAGGGTGGGCTGCAATTCATGCTAGAGGAAGTCCACTGTATTTTAAACTCCTCAAAACAGGAGTTCAGTAGGTGTTAGTGCTGCTCTTTAAGACTAAGAGGCCTCATCCGTGTTATCTGAGGAATGTTTCTTGTTGGTCAAATTCCTCGTTCACTGTCTATTTTATCAATATGGCTGGTCACCCCCCTCTCACATCCCCTGTTGATCAACTGCTTTACTCCCAAGCTAACTAAATAGCCTATTTTCTGTATCACCCCATAGTCAGGGACTTTCTTCAGAGAATTAATATAAGTGATCTCCGATAGAAGTCAAGCTAGGGTTTACAAAGAAAGGTTTACTTGACTCACAATTTCAGAGGATTGATGCTTATGGCAGGAATAACGTGGCAGAAGGGCGTGTAGCGGAAGAAACCTGATTAGTTCATGGCGGCTGGGGAACAGAGCAGGGTAAAGCACTGGAGAGGAAGAGGCCGGGACCGTACATTGTAATCAGGCTCATATCTACATCACTCACCCAGACACAAACAGATGTGTGCTTTACTAATAACCTAGGCGGTTGAACGAAGATGCATAAAGATGTGTGGAATATTATAATGTTTTGTATTATACTGCAATGGAGTGAGATGTTAATTTTCAGCAAAGGAGTGACACTCGTCTAATTTTCTTGATCACAGTGCCTGCTGTCTTAGAAATAAATTGATAAGGAATAAACAACTCAAGGTGACTCTTTTGTAATCCTCTACACAGCAGATACTGACAAAAGAATCAAGGAAATAGCTGCAAGTTCAGTCAGAAGTGCATGTATTCTAGATTATTTTCAAAGGTAATTGACAGAATTTGCTGACAAAATAGAATGCAATCTCCCTTATAATTTTAATGCAGCACATGGCAGATCAAACTGTATACACATCATTTGTAAATTTAATACAATGTCCAAAGAAGCTTCTAAATGATAGCTAACACATAAGACTGAGAAATTCAGGCAATGAGAAAACTGCCTTTATAGTTTACTTGTAAAGAAGCCTTGCAAGGAAGAGCAGGAACACTGGCTTATTGCACACAATTACTGAGTTTAAAGAAGAAGGAAAGTAATAAGAACAGCAAAATTATTGATTGAAAGTGGATGTTGTTATAAGCTTCAATTTTTCCACATGATTTTCATATTTACTAGGCTGCCCATAGGTCTTCAAAAACTAACACTACAAATTAAACACTGGGTTTTTTTTTCCTAGTGGAGAGTTCAAAAAAGCTCAAACTCATTCATATTGGAAGATTGGTAGTAGGTGAAATGGTAACTCTGAGAAGGAAGCTTTTTCATGTATTTATTTTGATTAATTTGAAGGAACTATTCCTTCTTCCTTTTCTCTAACTTAGTTTCTAATGCACTGATAAGTTTAACTGCAGACATGGAAAAATGTTCGTTTCCTTTAACACAGCTCACTGTATCTAACGGTAAGTGAATCACACGTGATAAACTATGGCGCTTACGTCCTGCTGTGTTTTGCTGAGTGGTTTGTGCTGCGGCTGAGGGACAGATATCCAGGCTCCGCATGCTCAGCCAACCACACACTGAGGGACTCTCCAGATGAGACTGCTTTTGGTCGCATTGCTCAATAACAGGCTTTTTCTCTAGTATGTCTTTCCAGAGAGAATTTACTTTCTTCTGATTTTTCACAGAAGTGCTGTATTCTGAAGCTAGATATTTGAGAGACTGTCATATATTATAGTATGCCTAATCTTAAGTGAGAATAATAGTTTTGTCCCCACATTTACTTCGACAGTTGATTAAAGAAGAAAAGTACTATATTCTAAAGTGAAATAAACTCCGTTCACTTACATTGCATTTAATTATGAGAAGGATTAGATACACTTTCTTACTTTATAGCCCCTTTGTCTTTCCTGTGACTATTCAGTTTGCAATCTTCATACACTTGTCTGCTGTCTTTTTCCCTATCTGTCAATATTTACATCCTTCTGTGGACATGTGTTTGATTATGCAGATGGTATGTTCTACTTTACTTAGATATTCTGTGGAAACTCAATTTGAGCTTACACTATTTTGCACCAACAAAACACAATTACATGTGCTTGGGATATAGCTCATTTTAGAGTACTGCCTAGTAGGCATAAGGCCCTAGGTTTTCTTCCTGCCAGAATACACCAATTCACAGAGAGCCGTACACACATGCATTGATTTTTCTGTTGCTATGTAAGTGTAGATGGGTGATGTCTCAAGTTGGATGCTTGGGATAGCTATCTGAACTAGTGTGTCTTTTAAGGAGTGTCTTGGTGATCAGAATCTATGAATGGGAAGGAGAGGCAGGAGGTAGAGTTAGGCGGAAGTCAAGCTGTAAGTCAGGTCCCTTGATTGCTCTACTGACTGCACAGGGAGCCCTGGAACCACGAGTGACCTCAGGTGCTGGGCCCATATGTGCCTTTGTTGATCAAACGTCGGATTCAGGCCTCTTCAAAGAGAAATGGGACACACTGGAACGATGATCCCTGACCTGGCTAATAGCTGCAGGCTTCTGCACCCTGAGCAGGGAAAGCACAGTGTCTTTCATCTCAGAGGAATCGGATGGGCATAGTGTCCTCAATAGATGGGAGCAGAGCTCTGATAAAAATGTGAAAATGTGGCTGCTTCTATCATTACTGTAATGATCTTTTAAAGTACAGATACTTGCCTCTTTGCATTGAATAATATCGAGTGGTATAGATATATTTGCTTGGGATATTTCACTGTGTTTAATTTTATTGTTTAAAGAAGTTTTTCAGTGTTTTTCCTTACCATAATTGCGATATTATTCTGCTGCTGGAAGTCTGCATAGCTGTCCTAAGATTAAGAAGCTGTTACTTTTGGTTAGGACATCATGTAAATGCAAATTTCAGTGAAGATAAGCTCCACTAGCAGGTTTCAATCGGCATTTGTCATTAATGCTAGAAATGCAGAGAAGGTTTTACTTTCAGTTAAACATATTAAAATAGATCAAATATTAAAAGTATTCAACAGCTTTTATAATTGAAGTATAACAAAATTTAAAAGGAATTTAGAATAATAAGGCAAATGGAAACACTTCTGGAGAAAACTTGCAATAAATTATGAGACAGATAGGAACTAGAGTGTGATTATATAGCCGGAATAATTATTTTGTTTTTTGCAAAGATACTTTTTATTTAAAGAGAAGAAAAATACAAATAAAATAAGAGTTTTATTTCATGTAATTTCTTTAAAGAAACAATTTTAGTTTTAAGTGCTCAAAGTTTTGAAGTTTACCAAAATAACATATATTTACTGTTTAAGAAAGTATATTTAACATAATGTAATTTTATTTAAATGAAAATTTATTCAGTGTCAAAATGCCCTGGATTGGCTAATGATGTTGAAGTTTTGAGGATCTGAATTCAAAGGATACTTGTATCTATATTCGATCCAAGGCTATTATACCAATTTTATATCATGTGAGAGGTATGCATGTTTTCAACTTCTTAGCAATATTGTCAATAGATTGAGAACAATAATATATGATTCAATTATGCACAAAATTATTAGCTATCTGATATATTTTAAACATTTATTTACACATATATTAAAATATATTGAAATTATCTTTAGCAAATAAGCTAAGATTATTTATAAATTGGAAGGGAGTACAAACCAAGTGCAAAAGAAAAAAGACCAAGTAATTTCCCAAATTAGTAAAGTAGGAAATTAGGTGAAGGTGTAATTACTATAATACAGAACTAGAATATAAATTTTGAAAAAAACAAGTGATTTACTAGAAAGTGAAAAAAAGAAAGCTGATTTTTCTAGTACTTTTTCCAATATTTCTACACACAACAGTTTTGGACTACTATTTTTCTTTCTTAGTTTAATTAGATCAAGTCTATTATTCTTGCAGATCAATATTTCATACAGTGCAAATAAAAATGTGATAGAGTTTCATAGCTAAGAGAAAATCAGAATTGTAAGAACTAATGAATCAGATTCTAAAAATAGGCTTTCAAAATAGCTTTGGTGAACAATGTATTACATTTGTTGTAATGGGCAATTTAAACATTTTGTCATAACTAATAATTCCAAAACTTAGAAATTGTTTGGTAGGTGATCTAATTTCATTGAGACTTAAACTGCAAGCTATAAAATAATGAATTTGCCAACCAATCTTATTAAATGATTAACTATTAAACATGTATTAAATATGCATTCATTATTAATTAGTTTCACTTCTCAACCTTTTGACTAAGATCAAGTGTGGTATCTATTCTTATCAATTTAACATCTATTAATTAACAAACCACTTTATGCAATTCATGGGAAGTAGTTAATATTTGAATGAAATAAAAGTAGAACACTGTTATTCAGACTTATAGAATTACAGAATTTAAAGCAAAGAAAATTTTACAATTAAGATTCTGAAGAAGTTAAAGTGGAACAAAATAAAATAAAAGAACATGAATGAAATTATGAAGATAATAACATGATCTCATAAATCAGGAAGAAAATAAAAGTGGAGATAGTGAACCAGTTTAAAAGCTTCACAAACTACTGGTAAGACTGAGAGAAAAGAAAAAGAAGGCACCAAAAGAATACTAGGAATAAAACGGTGGGCATTAATGTAAGTGCTACATTCAGTACAGTAAAATTATAAGACACAGTAAACCATTCTAAACTAATACCTTTGAAAATTTAGATGAAATGTACATTTTCAATCAAACTTGGTTTTAATGATATAATAAATCGCGGCAAACCATAATTATTTTGATGTATTGTAAGTCACCTCATTAACAGATTTTATGATTATCCAATTAATTAAGATACATTTAGTAAAATTTACAGCCAACTATTAAAATCCATGGCAAATACTGTGAAAAAGCTCCACCTCTCATTTGAACAAGGGAGGAGGAGGAAGGGGGAAAGGAAGAACAGGACAAGAAAAAGAACAGAAACAAACTTTTGTAAATAAGGAGGGGAAGAAGGGTTGAAGCGGGGGGAGGGGAATGGGAAAAAGGAAGCAGCAAGATAGATCACGGACTGGTACAAGTTCCCTATAATGAACCTGGTCACTATGTACATCTAAAACGTAGCAATTTAAAAAAGAAGAAAAAAAAACACTGTGAAAAAGGACATCAATACCTACAAGAATTAAACAAACCTTTTATAGTTATGCAATAGCAAAGACACCTTCTCTGAGGTAGGGAATAAGAGAAAATTGCCTTACCTCAACATTTGTATCCAGCAAAGTTCTTAAGGGCTTAGTAAACATGGTGGAACAGATGAAATGAACGTAAGTTATAAGGACTGGGCGGCTCTGATTCCTTGAAGCCTCTCAAACTGCCTAACACAGGCACAATCCTGTTATCAGGCCACTCACTACTCCTACTGATACATATCCCTGTTCCCACTGTGTGCATCTGGCTATGCTGCAATGAATAATAAGCCCAAGTGCCTTGTGTAGAAGGCACTGGCAAAACTTGTCCACACATTGAATGGTATTTGTATGGTACCACAGAGAGATAAAAATCATTCTTGTTATGGGAATGGTTGAAGGAAATAGCGGAAAACTGTCCAATGCAATTAGACTAAGAAGAGTGTGAAGATTCATGGAAAAATGTATATATACTTTTATGTATATATGATTTACAAGGTAGGCTTACCATGGTCCCCAAAGTGTAAGGTGCAGGACGGTACAGAAGGGCCATCTACACACTGGAGAGCCCAACAATCCAGTCAAAGTTGAAAGACATGGAGCTCACTGCAGAAGACCCTTGACATCTACATCAGGAGGCTGAAGTGTCTACACCGGAAGGCTGAATAGTCTGAACTTCAGGGCTGACCAGTCTATGTGGAAAGCCTGGAGAAAGCCAAAGGAAATGGCAAACATTGGATAATGGCAAATTCCTCCAAAAAAAGTGAGACTTCCTTCATTTTTCCCATTTTATTCCATTTGGGCTACAACCCTAATAGCTGGTGACACTCATACCCAGGACGGGTCTTCTGTCTTTAGTAATTCAACAATCCTGATACACTCAGAACTATGTTAAGCCAGTCAGCTGGGGTTTTCTTACTCAAGTTGATACACCAGTTAACCATCACACTGTTTCTCTTTTTGGCCCTGCATATTAGAGATACCATGCAATATTTAATCTTCTGTGACTAACTATCGTACTTAACATTATGGTCCTAAGTACCATCCACTGTCCCCCAAAGGACTCAAAACTGCCCTTTGTGATTGAGGTGTACTCCATTGTGTACATACAGCATATTTCCTTATTTATTCGTCTGTTGATGGGCATATAGGTTGCTTCTATCATTTACTTATTGTGAGCTATACTGCCACATGCATACATATGTTTATGAACTCCTTAGCTGAGTCTTTAAGTTGTTTGTGCAAGAGCTCACTACACTAATAGATTTAGTTTAATAATGATAATGATGATGGGACTGTGCTTGCTTTGAACTAGTACTGTCCTTCAGGGTTACTGCCCTTGTGTAACTTTATGACCTCTGTTAAATAATATGCTACTTAGTGATGAAGATAGGTTGCTAAAGAGCACTTACTTTGCTTAAATAATTGCTTTGTTAGTTGAAGATTTTTAAAAAATAACAATAAAGAAAATCAGAAACACACATAAATATCTCTCTATGGTGTTCATTCCCTAATGCATTGTGTGTGTTTGCCAAATTAAAAAAAAAAAATTCCTTGTAGATCTGAAAGCACATTCAATTATTTGTACATAAGTATAACATGTAAAGAGATCCACTTATTTTTCAGCCTGCTAAGTCAAACGGTAGGCTGTCCTAGAGGTCAGATGAGCAAAGGAGGAAATTACTCCTCTGAGGGTACATACTGGTTGTTAAAACCTTTCATCCCAAGTGTGATAGTTAACTGATTGTGTCAGCTTGAGTAAGAAATGCCCAACTAAGTTGGATCAGAATAGTTCTGAGTGTGGCTGAGGAGATTTACTGAAGACAGAAGACCCATCCTCGGGTGTCTGGTAGCCTGAATGGTCTTTTCCTTGGATGTCATCTCCTGGCTTCCAGCACAGACTCTTCAGCTTTCCTCTGCAGACTCTTTGCCTCCTGACAGACTCACACAAAGACTACACTGAGCTCTTGGCCTTCGACTGGGTCTTTGGATCTCCAGCAGACAGGCCATATGCACTCTTCTAGATGTCCCCATAAAGCCTCCTGTGTCCTCAGGTGGGGCTTTGTAAAGGCAGCTGATTCTATGTTGTGTAATGCTGGGATTAAGTTTCAGGGTGCTGGGATTAAGGTGTGTGCTTACTAAATCAGTCTCCGACTGGTTAAGTATAGTTCTGGGTGGACAACGGGAAGGCCCACCCTGGGTGTGAGTAGCACTGTCCAAAAGGCAGGCAGTTTGGAAGTGATAGAAGGGAGAAGCTTCTGCCTTGTTTCTTGCTGCTGCTTCTGCTGCTGCTATTGTTTGCTGCTCACAGCTTTCTGCCTGGCCTGCCACACCATGGATTGTTTCTCCTCTATGATGCCCCTTTGCCATGCCACCCTACCTTAGCATCAACCAAGTATGGAGTGAATACAGTCTGTGAGCTGAATATACCTTTTCTCTTTTAACTTGAGAGTGTTGGATATTTTGTCTCAATAACAAGAAAAGTAACTGAGGCACTAAGAAACAACTCCACAAGGTTCTGGATAGTTCAGGGCTTTGATATTTCAATAAATATAAAATGTGAGTAAAATATGATTCCTATCTCCAAGGTGTATATAGATAACCATCTTGAATATGCCAAGTACTAAACTGGAAGTATGAGCCTAGGGGACAGGAGAACCAGATCTTGCCTAGTCACCTGTCCCACAGAGCACCGTCCTCCAAAGAGAAAAAGAGGAAAATGCCGAAGATAAAGAGTCAATTGTCCATGAACTTGGATGTCTCCATGTAGTATGCATCTGATTTTTCTTGGTGTCTTCCATTAGACTTTTATTGGTGTCCTTCTGCTAAAGTATAAAACACCAAATGCATAGTAATAAATCTATTAAGAAAAATGTATTTCTTTAAATACATTTAAGCATTTTACAAGAAACTATCAAATCTCTTGCAGAAATATAAATTTTTGTAAAATTTTATGTAGTATTTCCTGGATATGTAAGCAGATTTTTTTCACTAGCCTCCAGGAATTACAATGTTCACTTCTATGTACTTGTGAATTACTTTGATGATATATAAAATACATAAAATTTATGTCCAATGGAATATAATTGTGGCAATTAAATTTTTAAAATACATATGGATTTATTTCTGTTATTTCCATGAATTAACTTGGGCTTCTTATGCAGTTTTCAAATCATTCCAAATCTATACCTGCTTGGCAGGCCACCAATATATAGTTCTTGAACAGAAACAAAACTAAGGGGCTGGGGATTTAGCTCAGTGGCACAGCATCTGCCTGGCAAGCACAACGTCATGAGTTCGATTCCTGGTACCAAAAAAAAACAAACAAACAAAAACAAAAACAAACAAACAGAAACAAAACTCAAGCTAAAAACACACATAGATTTTAAAAACCCAAAGTTTTCTTACGTGTGATTTTTTTGGAATATAGAGTCATATTCAGATGTAAACTTCAAGAATACAGAGATATAATTTATTTAAATCATGCACATTCCTGATATGAAACAATCACAAAGTCATTATGTAAAATAACATACTGCTTTATACTGAATTCAGTGATAATGCTCTGCTAATGTAAAATTTGTTCAATTATTTTGTTGAAATATAATTTACACACATAAAACTTACTTATTTTCAATTTAACAATGATTAATAAATATACATAATTGTGTAAAATCAGCAAATTCAATTTTATTTTGTTTGTTTGTTTGTTTTTTGTCTTTTTCAAACAGATTCTCACTATGCAATCAGGCTGGCCTTGAGCTCACTTTGTATCCTAGGCTGGCCTTCGACTTCTAAAGATACTCCTGCCTCAGCCTCCTGAGTGCTGGAATTACAGGTGTGTGCCACCACAACTGGCTAGCCAAATCGAGTTTTAGAACATTTCCATTGCCCTCGGAAGATCCCTCATGTTTATTTAGAGTCAGTATTTTTTTTCTGCTCCAAGCCATAGTTAACCTACTAAGCCTTTTCTGCCTCTATAGTTTGCCCTCTTCTGAACATTGTTGGGGTCAATCATATATTTTTGAACATTGTTGAACATTGTCTGAACATTGTTGGGGTCAATCATATGTTGGGGTCAATCATATATTTTTGATAAAATACATATTTCAAAATCTTTCTCATTTTTAGTGAGTTATTTATTTTTGTATAATTAGAATATATTTCTCATATCTGAATTGTAAATTTTATCTCAATGTATGACTTGATTTTCATTTCTTTAATATTATCTTTTTGAAATATCAATTTTTAACTTTTACTAAGTTCGATTCAACAATTATTTCTTCAGTGTATCATATTTTCCATCATATCTTAGAAATTATGAACTCTAAGTCATAAAAAATTACCCTGTGCTTCTTTTTAGATGCTTAATAGGTTTTAGCTCTTATCTTGAAGCCTATCATATAGTTAGGATAAAATCTGCATTGGATCTCTAGTTGTCACAGCACCCTTTACAGAAAAGTCTGTCTTTTTCTCCATTTAATAACCTTGGACACTTTGATAAAAATAAGTATATCAGAAACGTAAAATTTGGTGTGATTATCCAATTTAATAACCTTATATTTGTTTTTATGTTTGTCTAAATTTCATTGGGTGCGTTTCTTCAAAATTATCTTAAATTCAGATTGATAAGAAAATTTGAAAAAATGGTAATAATTTTATGAAAAAATATTTTTCTTTTACTTTTCTGTGTGTGTGCCAAAGTTAACATGTACATAGTATAAACAGGGATGGAAATACTTCTTAATCATATTGAGAACAAAGCTACAAACTTTAGCATTTGGGAAGCAAGTGTTCAGTATTGGAATTATAGATTTCATGTAATAGCTCAAAATTATTACATCCGAAAGAAAAATCAATAGCCACTATGTGCTGGAAAATCTTTCCTCAAGAGCAGTCCTTACATTTCTAATAATTTCATTATTTATTCATCTTCCATGTCTTGTACATTTTTACTTCCTTTCTTACCTTTCTTGTACTTCATGTTACTCCATTTCTTTTTTTCTCCATTTCTTACCTTTCAATTTACTCTCACCTATACCTCATTCCCAGTGCATGTATTATCCTAAGTTTATCTTTTTTTCCTTCTCACCTATGGTTCAGACCACAGGTATCTGAATTCTAGCTGTTTTCAAAGGCTAAGATATCACGTCTTAGCACTGCAGACCAGGCATTGGTAAGAAACTCAAGGAAAAACTAATGAATGAGTTTTCTTTTTTGCATCTTCTATTTTTCCTTGTATGATTATCCAAATGCTTGAAATTTATCATTGTCCACTGAATTGTTCTAGCAGTTGAATGTAAGCTATGCTCTCTTTCACTCAGGTCATGGAAGTTAATTGGCACTGTGCCTTCTGAGCTATTAAAAATAACTACAGTGAAGAAAAATCTGCTTTAGATCATATTTTTTCAACTCGCAATGCTCAGAGTCCATGAAGAAACTAAACTTATAAGAATATTTTCTGTCTCTGTTTTAGCAAAATAAAAAACTATTTCCTTACCTCATTGTGTCAGGAAAGAGAATAGCATAATCAACTTTCTAAGTGTAGGACTTCATAATATAATTGTAAGTACTTGATCTCTAAAGCAATGCTTCTATCCAGAAATGACATGACTGCTTTCCCCAAGATGAGTATATTTATTATGTATCATGAAAGTATACTAATAAACCAGAAACTAAAAAAGATGTAGTGATTCTGTGCATGTACCAATTAGTAGAACTATTAAGTATATAAGGCAAAACCTGACAAAACTGAAAATAAAACATACATATCCAGAAATCCACTTATAAAATTGATAGAACAACTAAACATAAAATCTCCATGGATATAGCTGAATTAAAAAGCTCTGAACGAAATTTTAACATATGATTGTGTTAGGAGTCAGGGAGAAGTTTAAATAACATGGTACGAAGCCCAGAAATAGGACAGCGTATTTGCACAAAGAACCCAAGAAGTAATTCAAGCCAAAAGAAGGTAAAATCAATATAATTTATAACAAGACTGTTTTCTGCAAACAACAAGTGATTGGGTTATTTCAGATAAATTAATACAATAAAAATTAGTTGTGAGCTGTTATCTTGCTAGTTGCTACACAGTTTCAGCCTACATTTTTGCAAATGTAGCATGCAGGGTTAGCTGTGATTCCAAAGCATTCAGCTCACCAGTTTATGTTGTCTCTCTCCATCCCACCTAGAAGTGTCTGTAAACAGATGTGGGGCTTATGCTCTACTTTTCTCTCCATAACCAAACAGCACTCAATGAAAGTCAAGACATTTTGAAAGAGATAGTTTTATTGGGGCTTATCACATACCTGTTGCCCTTGTTTCATTATTTTTGTAAAGTTGTTTTGAAGGATCACCTACAGTTAATAAAATTGTAAGCAAATTCAGCCAGCATTTGACTATGGCATTGATCACAACCTTGTGTCTGGGTTACTTTTCTCTTGTGGCTGAGACAAGATACCTGACACCCAAAATTAAGGAAGAAAAGGTTTATTTAACTCACAGTTTGTGGAGGTTTCAGTCCATACTGGACTGGTTCCAAGGCAGAGTGGCACACGGCAGAGGCAACAGTTCACGGCTGCAGAAAACAGCAAAACAACAAGAGCAAAAGGGAAGAGTGGAGGCAAGCAGCCTCTTTCGCTCCCTTATATTGTAAGCAGGCTACCCCCACCCAGGGGCGTGCAGCACTCACATAATCTCCAGGCCCTCCTCCTGCACAGGCGCAGGATGGATACAAAGTAAGCACCCTGGCTGCCTGAGCAGTCACTCATTTAAGCTTCTAAACTTCTCACATTGACACAATGAACAACAGAGCAGGGTCCTTTTCATTCCAGGATGTAGAATTGCTGAGTCACTTAGCCAAACCTCTACACTCCCCAAGTTGACACAATGTATCAACCATGATAATACACCCCTTGTCAACTTGGCAACCAGACACATTTCTTTAAACCAGTTTCCAGATACAAAGACATTGTATTACATTAGAACCATAATATTTCAACCCCGAAAGACTCATGCACATTCCTTTATGCAAAAGACATCTAGTCCATCTGCAAGAGTTGCCAAAGTCCTAACAGTTTCAGAATTGCTGAAAAGTCCAAGTCCCAAGTCTCCTCTGAGATGTAAAGCAAACTCTTACTTGCAAGTCCCTGTACAAATGAAAAGTTAAACACTTCCAACATTCAATGGCACAAAATAAACATTACCATTTCAAAAGGTACAAACAGGGGGACACAGAGCATTGGGACCAAAGCAAGTCCAAAATCCAGCTGGGCTAATGTTATGTCCTGTAGTTCTACGTCCATCATCTGAAGTAGTCTATGGCATGTTGTGAGCTCCAAAGGTCTAGCATGAGTCCATGGCAATGGCACTTCCAGGGGCTACATTTCCCACAGCTTTTCTCTTGGGCCCACTTTGCTCCTTCCTTGCAACTTTCCTCAGATATTGCACGTTCCTGGCTTTTCCAAACTTCTGAGGTCTCTGCTGCACCTTTTGCTTCACAATCACAGTTTCACACTGCCCTCTCAGCAGCACACTGCCTGGCCCCCCAGGCCTTCTTCTGAAATCTGGGTGGAAGCCTCTTTAACCTCAGAATTCTTGCATTCTCCATGCACCTAAAGCCAGGGCCACGTGGATGATGCCAAGGTCTGCTACCAGCTGGACCAGTAGCCAGGCTTTCCTCTCTCTTGGCCGTAGGGGTTGAGTGCTTGGATCGCTGGGTATTCTGAACCTGATTCGAGGAACAAACTGTCTATGCCATCACCATTCTGGAACATGGAGCTCTGGGGCTTTCTCCTCAAAGCAAAGTCTTTCACCTTTGCAGTTTTGAGGCTGCAAAGGGTGGAGACTTGCTGCTGTTTCTGATGCTCTCAGGCCATCTCTTGTATTTTCCCATTCCTTCTCAGATGTGAAGAACTCCTCAGCTATATTTTTGTAATCCACACTTTACTGGAGCTTCCTTTCTGGCCAAACTCACAACATTTTAAATCATCCTGCTAGGCTCTTTGCTCTTGATTCTCAACATAAATCTGGCTAAAAGCCCCCAACAATAGCCACGGCACTGCCTCAATATTCAACTGGCTTGAAATTTCTTTTGCCAGATTAATCAGTCTGCCATCCTTAAACTCAGTATGAGGCAAAGTCTCTGGACACGAGCAAAATGCAGACAAACTTTCTGCCAAGCCATAACATACATCATAGGAGTCCAGCACCCAATGCAGTCTTCTTCCCAGCAGAAACCTCCCAGACCCAGACTTTATCAGCAGGATTTCTATCAGCCTTCTGGTCCTCTGAGCTCTGACCAGGCTCTCCCAGACAGAACAGCCGAAGGTGTTCCAGCTCTACTCTTTCAAGCAACATCTCTAAACCTTTCCAAACACTTCCCACAAGCCATTTCCAAAGGCTCTTGAATCACATGGTCCAGTACAGTCACAGCAAGGACCCCACTGCTCTGATACTAAATTCTGTCCTGGTTACTTTTTTCTCCATGCTGAGACCAAATACCCAACACCAAAAATGAAGGAAGGAAAGTTTTATTTAGCTTACAATTTGTGGAGCTGACACAGTGGATCAACATAACCAAAGAGCGCCCGCTGAAAGTCAAGACATTTTAAAAGACATAGTTTTATCACAGCTCATCACATACATATTGCCCTTCTTTCATTATTTTTATAATGTTGTTTTGAAGGATCATCCACAGTTAATGAAATTATAAGCAAATTCAGCCAGCGTGTGACGATGACGTTAATCACACTCATTCTTTTACAATATGCCTTAACAACTTCTCTTTAGTCTTCAGTTTCCTGATATGTAACAGGCAAAAGAAACACACTAACAGAATTTTCATGGTGATTAGTGATAATGTCACTTGCAGTGCTAATCAGTAACTATAGTTCTTATGATTCCATCCTAAAGTTGGTTCCTTATAGATTATTTCATTACCACATTAATTATGCAGTACTTTTGTGCTTCACATATATATCTTCCAATGAATCATGGGTTCCTTGCAGGCAGAGATATGTCATATTTACCTCCGTGCACTTACTATCTAGTACATACTAGTTTTTAATTAAATATTTACTGGAATCAACTGCAAAATCCTTCAAATACTTTTGGCCATACCTATTTATGACAAACACTCCCAATTTATATCTATCTGAGAATACCTTGATTTTTGCTATATTCTTAAAGGGTATGTTTGATACTTGTTCGATTGTTGCTGTCTTTCAGCACTTAAAAATTAGTGTACCAGTTCCTAGTACAGTTTACTGTTTCTGTTAAGAAATTCACTATCATTTACATTACCTTTCCCTCGTAACTATGATACTTTTTGTATCTCGTTCTTTTGAAGATTGTTTCTTTGTTTTTAGTTTTCAAAAGCTTGAGTAAGATGCAGTTTGGTGTACGTTTCTTTGGGTTTTTCTTCTTTGAAGTTTGCTAAACTTCCCAAATCTATAAAATTATGTATTTGCCATATTTAGAATATTCCAGCTCTTCCTTATGTACTTTTTCATTACTATATTTGTTCTATTGCACTTTTCAGTTTTTATATCTTTCAGTTCTAAAATATCCACTGTCCCAGCAATCTGGAGGCTGAGGTTGGAGGATCATTGTGAGTTGAAGGCCAGCCTGGGCTATGAAGTGAGTTTAAGACCAGCCTGTCTTAAAAAAGCCAAAAAAAAATTTTTTTAAAATCTGCTTGTTTTTTAAATTTATATCTTCTCTTTTAAGTTTTCTATGTATTTTGTGAATTTTAAATTCTTATTTTGTTCCAGCAAATTTGTAACTGTTTATTGAACATATCCATGTTGGTTATTTTAAAATCTTTGTCAGATATTTATAAAATCTCTGTTATCTTAGTGTTGATACCTATTGACTTGTTGTAATGATTTAGCTTGGGATCTTCCTAGGTCTTGGTTCCTGGTATGATGCATAGTTTTCAATTGAAACCTGCAAACTTGGAGAATTATATGAGTCTGGATCTTATTTAAAATTGATGTCTCCGCTCAAGGGACCTACCTTGTTACTGCCAACTAGGGACAGAAATCTAGGTCCCAACCTGACCTCCACTGACAACCGAGGGAGAGCTTAACTCTTTAATGATGGTCAAAAGTGGCAGATTTGTCTCCCACTAGGTTTTCACTGATCCTTCTGTGGCTGGGAAATATTGATGTGTCTCATTACTGCACTCCATTTGTCCTCACTGACCCCACAGGGCAGGGTGTCCTCATTAGGACAAATGTTAAGTGTTAAGTTGCGCTAGGCTTCCTCTGACACTCACTACCCCATTGAGGAACAACCCCAATCACAAACAATTTGCTTGCCTCATGTGTAGCCAATTTTACAAAGTTATATAAATACCTGAATTTCTTTCTTGTGTTTACCCAATATGATTAAACAGTCATCTGGGATCCTGAGAAAAATTAGTGTAACTTTAAGATTTTGAGGGGGACAGGCAGGGTCACTGTCATTATGACTATAGACATATTTGAAGTATTTCAACTTATTGTAGTTATTTTTCTTCTAAATTACAAACTGTTCTGCCATCCAACAGTGGAAACCCAGTTCAAGCTGGTTTATTAGTCTTCTTGATATACCTGTTACTTTTACTATATTGCTGAGTTTAACAAAAGTTAGTAATTTGAATAAGAAAAACTGTCTTACACAGTAGCTATGGATGAAGAACTCTGGAGTAGCGGAACTGAGTGGCTCGGGATTAACATCTATGAAATGCAGATACATGGGCTGAAGTTACTGGAAGGTGGGAATGGAAATGGAAGGTCTGCTTCTGAGCTGTTTTTCTCACATGACATGCTTGGAGAGCTTGTGCAGCCCATTGGCGGAAAGCCTGTTTCTTACCACATAGACTGCTGTAGATTGCTTAGTGTCCTTACGACGTAGCAGGTGGCTTCTGCAGAACTAGTCATCTCGGTAAGAGTAAAATACAAGTAGCAATATCTTTTATGACTTGGTCTTAAGTACACACAAAATCATTTCCACATATCCTATTGTCATATAAGCCTGCCCTATTCAACGTAGGGGAATGAAGAAATATTAAGAGATGAAAAATCACTGTGGACCTTGTTGAGATATGAGAGAAGACATTTATTAAAATAAGAAAATAGACTGAAGAATGTAATAAAATGCATGTCTTGGTATGGATAGTACCTGAATTCATGTCCCAAACTAGACAGTGAAACTTCAGATGCAAAGCATCTAGCACTTTCTTTTGAAGATGAAATGTGAAATTTATATGCGAAGTTATTCAGTTCTAATGTAAAAAAGACACATATACCTAGATATATGCATATATATATATATTACTAACAGATATACTTTAGTAATTTATTGATATGGTTTTACATAAGTAGTTAATTCTTTTCCCAGTTTGGGCCGATAGTGGATAGAATCATCAGAACAATTTTTGTATGTCTTTATGTAAACATATATTGTTATTTCTCTTGTATAAATACCTAGAAGTAGACTGTTGGTTTATATGCTCAGTGTATAATTCTCTTTGTTAAAAACTACTAGATTTTTCCA